CTCTTGGTCAGAAAACCCGACTGGCAGGATGGAGGGGTGGCCATCCAGGCTACGCTCTCCACATGTCACAGGCCAGTTCAACTTGGAGTCCTTCTGCCCAGGTAACTACTGGCATGGGAGGGAGCAGGAACTATGGCTGTTCCTCAGGCTGCCTGGGCCCATGTGCAGTGTGGTCAGTGCGCAACACAGCTCTTCTCTGCCGGAAGCTGTGCTCAGAACACGTCCTGTGAGGTGTTGTGTGTGCATGCATACACAAGTGCCTGAATCTCATGCTCTGCATGCCTGACCCCACCCATGTAGCTGTCTGCCGGCTGGCACTGGGCACCTGTGCTTCTCTTCCTCTGCGCCGATCCTCCTTTGTCACCTTCAGTGGGGACTCTGGTGAGCGGGCATTTCAGGGTCTTGGATGTGTTGAGGTGGAAACATGGATTGTTTCACAGATGCATCATTGGTCATGACGGCTGGTGGCCAGTGACGGCAGGTGCTGTGCAGTGTGACAAAACACGTGGAGCATCTGATAAGCGGGGCGTAAACGCAAGCCCACCGTGCCTGTTTCATTTTAAAATCTTGTGTTTGTGTGCCTTCCAGGGCCGAGGTTGTGGCTCTTTTGGTTCTCCAGTCTGATTCTGCACATATGTTGCATTGTCTTCCTTAAGACATGCGTCCCAAGGGAGAGTCGTTTGGCAAGGGCATGGGTGCCTGCAGTCGGCCAGGTGGCCTCTGTGCCAACCCCCATGCCTCCTTCAGGGATACACAAGAGCCATCCTCACACCGTTGTGTCTCCTGGATTCCCAGTGTCTGGGTCATCATTCAGGGCATGGTGTGGCTGCCTGGTTGCAGTTGGGTTCTGGCTGGAGAAGGCCATTGTGCTAGGGATGGCAGACAATAGGGCCTGGCCTGGGCAGCACGCGGACATTGCTGGGTCCAGGCTAGATGGCTGTCCTTTTGGGCCCTTTCTGTGCTCTGCTGCAGTTCCTGGGCAAAGGGTGGGTGCAGTGAGGCCCTGGCCTGCCGCCTGCCTTGTGATATGACCCTTCCAGAACCCTTCACTCCTGAGACTGACTGCCCCTCCAGGCATCGCTGCTGGACCCAAGGCCCCGCCCACACAAGATTCCACCACCAGGCAGTCGCTGTTCATGCCTGCAGTGCTCAGTGGGTATATCATGAATGGGGGTGCCTTGAGGGTCTGTGCATGCTGTGTGGCCTGAGGCCCCTCAGCTCCGTCTGGGGTCCTATGATGACCGCCTGGAACTCTGTCCCTGGACAGGGCTGTGGAGGGGAGGGGAGGCCAGCTGTGGGCCGCGGGTGGGCTATGCATCTCTGGTCAGGCCCCTGCAGGCCAGTGCCCATCTCTGAACACAAGAGGAGGTGGCGGGGCCTATGGCGGGAGCAGCGTCCAGCCAGGCCACACTCCTGGCACATTAGCCTTCATCTAGCACCTTCTTAGCCACTGGCCCCTCCACTGTCTAGGAACCCATGATCTGCATTGTCCTATAGGGCTCCCAGGATTTGCTGCCAATGTGGAAACTGAAGCAGGTGCCCCCATCATCTGGCTCTGCCCCAGGCTGAGTACAGCTGTGCCTGCACTGGTTGGCTTCTGACTGCAGGCCTTTTCTACCCTCCAGGTGCCTGAGCCCTCACCTGAGCCCAGGAAAGCCTAGCGCTCAGAAAGGCCTCCTCAGCATTCAGAGGCCAGTGAAGGGTAGAAGGGTTACCCTGGCCCACGGTCTGTGGATAGGGCACAGGTGTATATGGAGGTGTATGCCTGTGGGGTAGGTGCAGTGGGGGATGCTATGGTTTGAGTCCCCTCCAGAATGCAGGTGTTGGAGCCTACAGCCTGTGAGGATATTAGGGGGCGGGGCCTGTGGGAAGGGATGAGGCCCTAGGGATCGATGCCTGCACAGAAGGGCCCACACCCTGGCTTCCTCTCACCCTGCTAGGACATGGCACCCTTCCCCTTCCGAGGTTGCAGCAGTGAGGTGTCATCTTGGAAGCAGAGAGCGGCCCTCCCCAGACACCGTACCTGCCTGCCCTTGAACTTGGACTTTCAGGCCCCAGAATGGCGAGAAATAAATTTCTTGGTTTTTTTTTTGTATTACCCAGGCTCAGGTATTTTGTTACAGTAGCACCAAGGGACTTAGTTGTGGGGTTGTGTGTATGGAATCATGTGGGGTGTTCACGCCAGTCTCTCTATGGAGCTGATATGGGAATTGAAGGATGGACCAGGTTTCTTCAGGTTGAGATGGTCCTTGAGAGTAGATATCATGCACATGAGGGTAGATGAGAAGTTAGAGAAAAATTCCAGCCTGGGAAGGTGGCACTAACTTAGGGGAGGAGGGTGAGGTGAGGTGGAGAGGGAGCAGGTGAGGGGATGGAAGACTGGAACTCCTCATGGCCCAGAGTCCGTACCATGGAGGGCATTGCCAAGCATGGAAGATGTCCAAGCAGGAGGCTGAATGCTGAGCCAAGCCCATAAAAGACTCGCTGGGGAGTGAGTGGGAGATGTGCTGGGAGTTGGGAGAGGCAGGAAGTAGGAAAGTGGCCTAGGGGATTATTGCAGCTTTTCTAGCAGCTTCTGTAGGAGGTACTGGGGATCTGAAAGACCAGGGTGGTGGAGTATGTTGAGGTATTAATTACCCTGTGTTTTTTTTTTTTTTTTTTTGGAGTTGGAGTCTCATTCTGTCACCCAGACTGGAGTGCAGTGGCTGCTCCCAGCCACCGCAGCCTCGACCTGCTGGGCTCTGGCGATCCTTCCGCCTCAGCCTTCCAAGTAGCCGGAATTACAGGCATGCGCTACCACGTCCGGCTGATTTTTTGATTTATTGTAGAGATGAGGTCTCGCTGCCCAGGCAGGTCTCGAACCCATGGGCTCAGGCAGTCCACTCACCTCAGCCTCCCAAAGGTGTGGGATTACAGGCTGAGCCACTGAGCCCGGCTTACCCTGTGTTTTAATGATCAAACTTTGTTTTCTGCTCAAATAAATTTCAGAAATATCAAACAGAATTGGACTAATGTGAAGAATTGAGGATCTTAAGCACACCCTGAAAAACAAGCATTTAAAAATATCTTTTAATTTTTATTTATTTATTTTTTTAGTTGGAGTCTCACTCTGTTACCCAGACTGGAGTGCAGTGGCACGCTCCCGGCCACTGCAGCCTCAACCTGCTGGGCTCCGGCGATCCTTCTGCCTCAGCCTTCCAAGTAGCCGGAACTATAGGCGCGCGCTACCATGACTGGCTAATTTTTTGATTTATTGTAGAGATGAGGTCTCGCCAAGTTGCCCGGGCGGGTCTCGATCCCGCGGGCTCAGGCAGTCCACTTGCCTCAGCCTCCCAAAGTGCTGGGATTACAGGCTAAGCCACCAAGTCCAGCCAAAAATCTCTATTTTTTTTTAAAGCCAATTTATTTAGACATGTTTGGCAAGGGATTGGTGTAGTAAGTATTAATTCCTTTTCTCTGAACCAAAAAATCCTGCAGATGCTGGTGATCACAGGTTGATTTGTTTGGTTTTAAAGAAGATCAAGGAGCGGCCCTATAAATGAACTAGTTTGGGTATGACAAATCCGTTTTTGTCTTGCGCCCACACTGACTCAACAGCGTGGCTGCTGGGAAAGTCACCAGTGGTGTCAAGAAGGCCTCCAAGGCCACAAGCGCTCTAGCTGAATGGAAGAGTGCCCTGTTGGATTAGCAACGTTTCCCTAGGGACATTTTAGGAAAAGAAAGTGCAGATGTTATGTTTGCTATTCTAGACCCAAATCTCTTATTTTACAGTCAAATAAACTGTTTTAGAGAGGTTTGTGTGGCCATTCCAAGCTCACAGATATAGTAAAAATTAGTTTGAAGTTGGACTTGGGTCTTTTTGGATTTCATGTTATTTCTCCTACTTCTTACCAGGTGGAGCCCCACAGTGGTCTCTCTCTTCCTGTTCTGGGTCATGTATATGTGTGGGTGTGTGCTTGTGTGTGTGCAAGTGGAGAAAGTGGAGAGGGGCTGGCCCTTGCCTCTGCTCAATTTCTTCCTCTTTAAATCTGTGGGGAATGGGCAATTGGGAAGTTACTCAGCCTTTCTGATGTCAGCATCCTTACAGATAAAAGGAGGCCAGTTGGCCAGCCAGCCCTAATCCTTCAAGATCTGAAATACAGTCTCTGAAATACAGCCCTAGGAGACTTAGTCTCTCTCAATCCCTTTCTACATTGTAGATACTCCATAAATAGTTATTGAACTAAAACAGAATTTTCCCTGGAATAGCAACATTTGACCTAGACATATTTTCCAGAAAAGAACAAGGAGGAAGTCACCAAAACACATTGTTGGGTGACACGATTATTGGACTCTGTTCTCTTGATGAAACTTGGATTTCCTCAGTTATCTAAGGATTGAATTGGTAGGTCCCCTGGCCTTTTGTCCCCCCAACCTTATTTTTAACCTTCTGATCTCTGAACAGTTCACAAATTGTTAGCCTCCTTACCTGCGGACAGAGGAAGCATATGGCGTTTAGTTAATCAGAAAACTTGAGATCTTGCGGGGGGGTTAGTTTTCTACTCAAGTTCACGGTTCCTGAAGAACCCAAACTGCCTTCAGTGAGTTTGTTTCCTCACTTTTGAAAAATTCTATTGGTACTGCTCAGGACCAGCTATATAATTTGTGGGACTCAGTGGAAAATAGAAAAGTGGGGCCCCTTGTTCAAAAATTATTAAGAATTTCAAGACAGCAGCAGAGCGTTAAACCAAGTACAGGCTCTTTAGGACTGCCCACATTGCAGGAAGCCACCTGGGTGCTGCTTCTGCCACATCCCACTACCCATCCTTCCCCGCTGACAGCAATGAGGCAAATCCATGTTGAAATCATTAGTCTGAGAAAGTTCTATAATACATTGACTTTGGGCCAGTTTTATAAGTATGGCTAGTATTCAATCATAAAGATGAGATCAGAACTCGGTTTTACTTGCAAGGAGTGGGTATACCACAAAAACTTAGTTAAGATCATTTCTCTGAAACAGGTAAAGTTTAAACACCTTTTATTTCAAGAAATATTGCTTCTAGACTTTCCTGAAGCCAGAATTGTTCTATAAAAGTATCACAGAATATTATACAAGATTAAAAAAACAAAGTATGCCTCCTAATAACTTGAAATCTTTGTACAAAGCACATCATCCATGACCATAAATATGTTTATTCTGTCATCCAACTGATGACACACACATAAGCAGCTAGTTAATTTTAACATATGTACAGAGTCTATAATAAAGACTTAAAGTTACCAAAGATTCAACTATAACATATTAAATTTTCTTTAAAGGAGTTTACCTTAACACTTAAAACATAATTTATCTAAGTGTTTGAATTATCTGAAAATAACAAAGAAAATTGTGAAGCTAAACAAAAATCTTCTTGGGAAGCTGACTAGGTTACTGATGACTCAGCGAGGTAATCCTTTAGCTGGTATTTAAAAATCTAACAGAAAATAATATTTTCAAGAATACAGATTTCCAAAAGCAACTTTGAACTATATCTTAGAAAGTAGAACTTGGTGAGGGCTTAAAAAAAAATCATATAACACAATGTTAGGAAATTAACTCCCCTTATGATATATTTAAATTATAGAACATTATGATTTTGTTTTATTGAAAATTTCCTTTGTAAATTCAAAGCTAAACATATTTTGTCAACATTTAAGCTTATTAACCAGGCCAGGAAAACAAGATATAAAGGAAGATAGAGAGTCTTCAGTCCTTTTTCTCCTGTCAAGAAAATAATCAAAATTGAACAATCTTAAGCATCTGATGAACACCTTGAGGCTAGACAGAGAACAGGAGATCTTTGTTTTGTTTACTTATTTATTTACTTTTACCTCTAACATTATTAGCCATGCCTTTCTGCTAATCAATTTTAGCAAGTCGAGGTAAAACATGCAAAATTTCTGACAAAGCGTGTGCTAAACAATATGTGATCCATATCGTGTGTCGTCTTTAGGGGTCTATTTTACTTTGTCACACTGACAGCAAACAGTGAGACTGATAAGCCCATAAAAATAAAAGGTGAACCAAATAGACATGGCATTTGAATCTCAAAGTGCAAAATCAATGTACTAGTAATGGTGGCATTGAAAAACTCCAGTGGTTAGAAATGAATCAAAACTTCATTTTGCATGCAGTGGAAGTGTGTTGAAAGAGTCACCAAGGGTGTCAAGTTTTAGAAACTTGTAAAGGCACAATCCAGCGATCTTGATTAGATAACATTTATATACTCATGTCCCTACAATGTTCAAAAGATAATACTGTTTGAGTACCCCCAAAAACTAAAAACCAACCAAAATATCCCTAGCCTTTCTTCCTACTCTTGGCAAATAGTGAATTGTAACAGAGTCTTTGTGTGCACATCGCTTGCTTGTTCACATGCACACTAACTTCTACTGCACAAATGTACCTGGGGGAGCTTGGAATGTTGGTGGCTATGATTGCCTTTATTAGTTTACAAATAAAAAAGCTAAAAAGAACTTCTATGATTAGGATAAGGTAACAATTTCATCTAATCAGAGGAAAGTGGAGAGGAGGCACTGCCTTCTAGATGCCGCAAACTCTCCTTTTCGTGATCCTTCTCCACTTTGGTCAACAACCTCTCCACTGTGCTGGAATTAATAGGCTGCTCTATGGTGGACGCACTGAACGTCTGATGAGCAGAGGTTCCTTCAGAATGCACAGGAAGATACAGCTGATCTTCGAAAATATCCTCTTCCGGGCCAGTATTCTGGGGAAGGTCTTTCTGAGGCTGGCTGATGGACTGCAGCCTGGGGCTGGGCTTGAGCGCCAGCTCTGTCAAGCCATTGCCACTGAAATCGGTTTCAAGAGGATTGATTTCTTCATGCCCCATCCACTTTTCAGTTTTACGATTTCTCCAGTGTTCAGAATTCAAACGATTAACTTCTGGAATGTCGTTATTCCATTCAAGTGTACTCTCTGGACTTAATGTTGGTTGGTTCAAATGCAGGGTTCGAAGGTCGGCGGGCAAGGTCAAATGAGGTGCTTTCCCAACCGTATGATCTGGGTCTTCATCTGACTCAGCAGAGGCCATCTCTACTGGCGCAGAGAGCTCAGCAGAGACAACCAGGAACCCGTCACTGTGAGCAGTTTTAGTCTTATTTGTTTTATTTTGCTCATGGTGACTGTTCAGCAGTGCAAATACTCTATCTACATCCTTCAAGTAATTAGTCCAGTCAACCAGACTAAGTCTATAGTTTTGTCTGTACTCATAGATGCTTTCATTCACACTGTATAGCTCCTCCAGGACTTGCCAGTTGATGTCTGCGGTAAGATGGGGCAGATTAACCTTCCCATCCATCCCATAACTGTCCTCTGTGAAAAGAGAGATGAAGGTGAATCATTAGTGGAAAAAATGTTTCCTACTTATCTGGACAAGCCAGTTATATTGTTTTTCCAGAGTAAGTCAATTAAAAGAAGACACTAAAAAGCATGTTCTCCTAGTAATTTGTTATCAAGGAGTGGTCTTAGGTTATAAAGGTGATTGAACAACAAAAAATCGGAAAAAAGATCAAATGTGTGAATGACATTGCATGACTAAGTATAGTGAGTGCTGGAAATGGCAGTATCCTCTCAGTCAGGGGACTTCTGTTTCATTCCTGGCCTCACTCAAGTCAACTCTATCCAGGAGAGCGTGTGAGTTGGTCTCTCTGTGTCTTGCTCCTTCATCTGTCAAATGTAGGAATCGTTGTGTGATCAACTTGCTACTACTTATAAGGTTGCTGGGGTGAATGACCGAACTTGAAAGTATTAATGTAAGAGGTGGTACTTAATACAGTATTTTTATTTTATATTCCCTGACACTAAGTAGAAAAACAAACTTGAATGCAATTAAACTCTTCAAATCAAATGCTTGGATCTGATTTATTTATTTGCCCTTTAAGTTCAATGCCCTAGATAAATCTATGCCCTAGATAAGTGAGTCTTTCAGTGGCTTTCACATATGGAAAGAATGCACTGGCTTTCTCTCCTTCAGCTCTTTCTGCGTCTCCAGGATGACTGTACTCTTGCAGAAAACAACACTTGTTCTCTAGTGGTGCTCAAGTACCATTTGGAAAGAGGTGACCCAGATGACTGCCATGAACTACCGACAGAGCAACACAGTTCCACAAGAAGAAGTAAAACTACACAAAACCCACTCCTTCAGTATAGATAAATAACAGATAAATTCTACAATCTTCAGATCACCTGTAAGTAAAAAAAAAAAAAGTTAATGCCTAATTCTAGCCGAGGCTGTATGTCATACTTCAGCCATAAGCCCTGGGAAACAATATGGGAGGAGAGAAGAGGGGAGTGATGGTGGCATCAAAGGTCATTGCTGGAAAGAATGTTAACCTTAAGTATCATATTGTAAAGAGTCCTGGTGAGTCATAACCCTGACAATGAGGACAGGACTTGAAAGTGTGCATGTTTCAAGGTGACTGTCTTTGAAAGGCATTGCTTTGGGTAGACACAGATACAAAGGAAGGGAGGAACACCCTTTGGAAAATGGGTGGTAAAGAAGGAAGCAAGAAGGAGAAAATTTCAGGTCCTGCTAGAAAAAAAATGGGAAGAGATACAACCTTTTCTTCATTCACCCTCAAATTATAATAAATTGGAAAGATAAAGTATACTTAGTTACACTGACTGAAAAAAATTCTCTTAAACTAGGAATCTTGTAAATATTCCAAATCCATGAAATAAAGGCAGCCTAAATCTATACAAAATTAGCATAAAAGAAAATAGAAAATACGAATTAAGAAATTTAGCATCTTAAGAAAATGACCCTGCTGAAAATAAACTATAAAGTGAAGAAAACCACAACACACTAGTGCTAAGTGAATTAAATGTTCTCAACCAAGCATCTGAGGATGGGAAAACCAACTTAGGTCAGAAATTAAGTATGAACTAAAGATATTATATCCAGCCAAGCTCTCCTTCAAGTATCAAGGCTAAGGAAAGACACTTTGAAACATGTAAGAATGCAGAGAATGCTGGACACATCAGCTCTTCTTGAGCAAACTTCTAGGTGGATGAGCTTCATTCAATCAAGAAATCACTGGGGAAGCTTTTAGCCAAATGATTGATGGTGACTATATCAGATCTAGGTAGAGGAAGGGTGAAAAATAATATGCATTTTATAGGACAAAGCAGAAATAATGCAAATAAAAGTGGGAGCAGTAGAATGGATGAAAGAGAATAAACTCATGAAATATGTATGGTTCAGGTAATAGTTGGGAGTCAAAGAAGCCCATTAAAAACTGAAATAAAAGGTTAAATAAGAAAACAGCCGGGCATGGTGGCACGTGCCCATAGTTCCAGCTACTTGGAACATTGAGGTGGAAGGATCGCCGCAGCCCAGCAGGTTGACCCTGGAGTGACTGTGAGTGTGCCATGGCCCTCCAGCCTGGGTGATGGAGTAAGACTCCAACTCAAAAGAAAAAAAAGAAAAAGCATCAACATTAAACAGGGAGTTGTCCTCTTAAAAAAGAAAAAGGAAAACAGGCCCAAGGGCACTAAAAATGTATAAGTACAATGGCATCCAATAGGACAAAAATACAAACCTAACTAAGTTCTTAAGGAAAAAGGAAAGAACAACCATCTTTACAAAGAAGATGAGGTGAGAAATACAGAGAAACACAATGGGAGACACTTGATTCAAGGAGAGATCAAGTAATCCAAAGAATATTTATTGGGATATAATTGGAACCACTCAGTGGATCTTTTGGTACATTCCTTGGTGGTCCCCCTGGATTCATGAGATGAATGGACATGGGGACTGCAGCCATGTTGAGATGGGCTAAGTGTTGGTTGACCTATTCCTCTTGCACCCTCTCAGGCACATGATGCCAACAAGAGAGCCAGAGACTACAGATGGCCATGGGGCTGACTCTCCTGGGGAAGGTTCCGCCCACAGCTGGCAAATAGCTTTCACTAGACCAATGAATGGAATAGACACTTACCCTGGACTGGGCTTTAGACACCTGGTGGTAGATACAAATGCTCAAAATACTGTAGAAGGATTGGAACAGAAGATACACTACAGCTTACAGTGTCTAACAGTGGACAAAGAGAGTGCACATTGAGTGGATATATCACCCTAGAGTAATAATTAAATAGAGATTTGAAATGGGCAGTTAAAACATTTGCTGTCTAAAATTGGGGGGAGATAACCTGGCTCGGTGGCTCAGCCTGTAATTCCACGCTTTGGGAGGCTGAGGTGAGTGAATTGCCTGAGCCCGTGGGTTCGAGACCCGTCTGGGCAACTTGGTGAGACCTCATCTCTACAAAAATAAAAAATTAGCTGGGCGTGGCAGTGCGTGCCTGTAGTTCCATCTACTTGGAAGGCTGAGGCGGAAGGATCACCAGAGCCCAGCAGGTCGAGGCTGCGGTGGCCGGGAGTGGCCACTGCATTCCAGTCTGGGCGACAGAGTGAGACTTCAACTCAAAAAAAAAGAAAAAAATTGGGGAGAGATAAAGGCATGATCCACTGGACCGATTTATCTGCTTTTCAGGGGTATACAAAGGAGGGGATAGGGAAGGATGCTGGTGAGACTGTGCAACTCTTCTGCACATCACTTCAACTTTCTTTTTTTCTACCTGGTAAAGAGATGATTTCTAAGCAAGAAATTGTGATTATATTTTAAACTATGTTGGAATACCTAAGGGCCTGGCAAAGGGCCTAATGGGGTGGGTTGTGCTTTCACTCCTTCTGGCAAAATTGGGATTAACTGCGAACGTGGCTATATTGTCTGGTAGTAAAAACAGCATTAGTTCTGCACCTATGTCACCTAACCCTACCTGAATGGGAGCAGACTGAGAGGTGCTTAATAGACTAGTATTGCTAGTTTAATAGTACTGGACTAGTATTGCTGCCTGAAGTTTAGAGCAGCATAATGACTGAACCTAATGTTCCTTCCAAAGGTGGAAAAGCCCAGTCATAAATGGAGAGGAGAGATAAGAGCTGAGGCTAAAGGAATGAATAAATGCATCATGTAATGAGGAAAATCCAACATGACATTGACACCTCAAAAGAGGCTCAGAGCAAGAGATGACATTGTCTCTTAACTCTGTTATGCCAGATGCATTAAAAGGGTGAGGCCACTCCTGGTTTTTGACCCTGACAAGATCCAACAGAAGTCTGCAACCCTGAGAGGTCTCACCCTAGGAGCCATTTTCATATGACATCAAATGTGCTGGACTAATGACTAACGACTGAACAAGGTTTTAGGAATGTGCTGATATCTTTTGATTTTTATGATCTCAATGGAAAGCCTCCATGGTAGGAGACCAGGAGTGAACTGGGACATAATCAGAAGTACATATTTGGTTTCTGTCCCAGTTCACACAGAGATCCTAAAACTCTTATAGTCTCCTGGGTAATCTGAATGTGCTTATATGCTAATAAGATGACTGAGGGCCCCTAGAGAGCTCAGGTGGGGCTGAAAGACCCAGGCATGATTAGAGGGTTGGAACTGTCAGTCTTATTCCCCAACCTCTGAGGAGGGGAGAAGAGCTGGAGATGGAGTTAACCACCATGGTCAATGATGGAATCAATTGTACTTATATGATGGAGCCTTCATAAAGACTTTAAATGACAGGGTTCAGAGAGCTTCCCAGTTGGTGAACGAACCACATGCTATGAGGATGGATCACCCCAAACTCCGTGGGGACAGAAGATTCTGCACTCGGGACTCTTGAACCTCACCCTGCATACCTCTTCATCTGGGTGTTATTTGTATTGCTTACAATATCCTTTATAACAAACCAGTACATGTATAAAAAAATCATTGAAATACACAAAAATAAAAATACAAGTGGCTACTTTGCAGACCTCAGTGTGAATAAAGTTGAAAACCTTGATGAAACATAAAATTGCTCAGAAAAAGTTTATCAAAATTGACCCAATAGAGATAGAAAACTTAAAACAGAACAATTCCCATAGAAGACCAAAAAAAGACTATTTAATAACTACAAAGAAGCACAGGTGCATATTGTTTCATAGGGGAATTTGACCAAAACCTCAACAAAAAGAGAATCCTGATACTGTATCAACTGTTCCAGAATATGAAAAACCAAAGAAAACTTCCAGACTCTTTTTATGAACCTAACACCAATAGCTGTGGTAGGCAGAATAATGGACAATATCCCGATCGCCAAAGATGCCCACATCCAAATTCTTGGAAACTGTGGCTACGTTACTTTACATGGCAAAAAGGACTCTGTGGATATGATTCAGTTATGGATCTTGAGATGGTGGGATTATCATGGAGTATCCAGTGGGGCCAGTGTAATCTCAAGGGTCCTCATAAAGAGAAAGAGAGGAAGAGGAGGAA